GGAAGACAAAAAGTTAACTGACATCTAGACTAAATGGGATAGATTTGTAGAACATTATGACATTTTTTCTAGGTAAAAACTGTATAATTTGGCCTGTCACAGAGGAGAAAACAAGCAAAAAGCAAACCACTAAAGCTTTCCAGGCAAAAACCAGAAAGTGTCACGAATGCACACAGAAGAATATTGCGCATGTTAAATCATGAAATTAGCTATTAAAGTGTTTCTGCTACAGACTAAGTCATGTTAAAAGCATGTCTTGCTTCTTAACAGTTTCTCTTCTTAATTACGTGTCATGAGGAAAACACTCCCGGAAGCTTAATCTAAAAAGCATACGCCAACAGTGTATTGTAAATCCAAACTCACAATCTTGTAACTAAAGTTAGCATTAGCTGGGGAGCAAAGCCTACATTAAAACCAATATGTAACCAAAGGAAAACCAGGCATAACACAAAATATGAATTGGAAGGCAAGAATGACAAAATACTCAAGAGGTCAAGATACACACAATGGATGTTTACTCATATGAACAGCATGAAGGAGTGTTTACAGTCTATTTCACAGAAAGCAGAAAATTCAGACAAAACTTCTGTTCTACATTTGCGGAGAAAACCAACATAGGTCAGAAAATTCTAACAATAGCTAAGGAAAGCCTTAAATGTAGGAACAGAAGTAAGTCGGGTTTTAAATCAGCAGCTCCAGATAGCTTGCATCCAAGAATTTTAAGAGCTGGCAAAGGAGTGTTGTGTGCTGTTAATGTGGATTTTCCATAAGCTTTGAGAAATCTGGGGAAGCTAAGGAAAAAAAAGAAATCTCCAAGAAAACTGAGGTGGTGCCAATACAAGAAAAATAAGAAAGAAAGGAACAAATTCAGGAACTTATTGTCAAACTTGCATTAATCTGAGGGAAAAAAACCCAACAACTTGACTTTTAGATATAGGAACAAGAAATAAATGAGGAAATTCTGCTTAAATTACACAGTTTAAATGTATGGAAAAGATATTTTCAGATTGACTTTTTTTTCCTCATGCAATTACAGCATACATTTGATAGACAATAGGAACAGTGTTGATATAACACATCTGCACATTAACTTGTTCAGTAGGATGCAAACTGACACTGTTGCGCACATAGAGTTCATAGTCAATAAATTAAAACTAAGATTCATCATTGAGGACTCAGACATATTTCTAATTGAATCCCACAGGAATTAGTTCTTGGCAGCAAGCTACTCAGTATTTTATCTGGAAATAAAGTTTACTAAGAACTTTCATAAAAACTCTAAGTAAATAATGTAGCAAGACAGCTGATTGGGAACCATCTGGATTAACAGAAAACTCAGTGTTTCAGCATGATCAGTGTGACGTCACATATTTAAGAGTGATGAATATAAAACACTTATGGATGGAAAGCTTCCTCAGGAAGTAGTTGGAATAGCTGATAACAGAGTAAAACCAGGTTGCTTATGCATAAACAAGTTCAAAATTCTTAATGTAATTGTTAAATGGCTCAGAAAACAAACCCCTAGAACCAAATTCTGCGCTTATTGCAGGGAGAAAGAAGCCAGAGAAACAGGACTACCATCAGAACAGATGTCTGAAGTACTGATCTCCATTGGCAAAAGACATGGCTGCATTTCAGGGAGCAGCAACAGGATGACAACTTCTGTATCCGTGTTTATTGGAACTGCTTTATCAGAGCTAAAGCTAACTGCTTTAGCATCTGGTCCAAAGAAGTTATTAGTAAACCAGGTATTTCAAAGAGCAAGTACAAATGAGCCAAGAGCAAAACAAGCCTAAAATTGAGCATAAAATTGTGCATAAAATTGAATAATTGGCATTAAAAAATTAACTGCATCACATGAGGCTTAAGGACCATATGAAGACCTATAATGCATTTTGTAGGGAAAAATAAAATACTAAGTAAGTGCAGCATGATAGCTCAAATTAAGTTCCTACTACAACACCAAGCAGGCTTTTCTGAGTAACTAGTAATTACTAAGCCTCCAAAGGTGGCAGTAGTTTTGGTAACATTACACATGTCCATCATTACTGGACAAACCCCCAAACTAGAACATTATTTTTAAAAGATAATCACAGTAACACTACCATAGACCATCATTTCCTAACATGTAACATCTGCCTCTCCCGTTCAATAAACCCGTCAAGTAGTGATGTAACTAGGAACAGGCATGCTCTTAGCAGAACACTGGTTTTGGGTCTGTTATCAGTGCCCAGGCCAAATCAATGACTGTTTGCATTAAAAATCATCTCTTCAATGCTTATTCTGAATAAATAAAGCAACTTCAATAAATAGGAGTGATGGCTTCAAACTGAGATGGTAGATTTAGGTATTCAAAAGCTCTTTCCTGTGAGAGTGGCGAGGCACTGGCACAGGCTGTGCAGAGAAGCTGCAGCTGCCTCATCCCTGGCAGTGTTCATGGCCAGGCTGAATGGGGTTTTGAGCAACCTGGTCTAGTGGAAGGAGTCCCTGCCTGTACCAGCGGGTTGTACCTGAATTTGCTTTAAGGTTCTTTTCAACCTGAGTCATTCTGTGATTAAGTTTAAGGACTTAAAATTTAAGCATGAAACCTGCACTTTTACTTCAAGCTTTTCTACCCTCACCTCCACTTTCAGTAAAAATGACTGGAAAAAAACAAGTAAGAAAATAAAGGCTTAGATGGGAACGGACTCGCTACCACTGGAAGCACTGAAGACTGGCTATATCAAAACCCGGCACTTCTCCCAGCAGAAAGCCCAAGCGCGCTTGCAGAGGCAACCAGCCGCTGAGGATGCTGCGGGGAGCGGGACGGACGGCGCTAGGACCCATGGAGTGTGGGCCGAGCCCGGTGTGGGTGGCGCGGTAGCCCCGCAGACCCCCCGCTCACTCGGCACAACCCGCCATGAGCCCCGGAGCGGAGCTGAGCGCAGCCCCTCTCCGTCGCTCCCGGCCCCCTCTCCTCTCACTGCCAGCACCGCGACTAGCACTCCCAAAGGCACTACAACCCGACACGAAAAACCGAGATATCCCAACATCCCTCCCACAGCGCTTCCGGGCCGCGGCTAGGCGGGTGAAAGGTCCCGCAGCTCCCGGATGGAGGCGGGCCGTTCTCTATATAAGTGCCCCGCGCCGGCCTCGGCCTCCTCTCGCCGCGCCGCAGCTTCCTGGCTCACCGCTGTTCGCTGGGCCCGCGCCGCTCTTTGCCCGCCCGGGAATAAGTCGGCCAGGAAGGCCCTGCTGTCGCTATGGTGAGGTGCTAGGGCTGGGGGTGAGGGATGGAAGGGACGCCGTCTCTCGCATCCAGCAGGCCTGGACCGCCGCGTGTACGCTCCGCCGCTGCCGGCCCTCGGCCGCGCCCGAGCCTCGACGCCAGGCCAGGGCTGTGGAGCCTGGGAGGAATCCTCCACTGCTGGGACGGCTCACTGAGCCTCTGGCGGGCAGGGATGGCTGTGCCGGGACGGTGGGAGCCCAGGCCGGCCGTGAGCTTTACCTCCTCGCAGGGCTTCCTTCCGGGAGCGGGGCCGCTGCCCGCGGGTGGAGAGGAGAGGCCGCAGCCCGGCATGAGCGGTGGTGATGGGCCGCATGCGTTCGCCCTAAAAACCGGGTTCTGTTAGAGGAAGGTGCGTCAGTTAGTACTACGGGTAGTGCCTCGTCAGTGTGAGAAACAGCGTAGTGCATCCACAGCTTTATAAAACCTTATTTTCTCCGTGTTTTCACTTTTATTTTATTCTGTTCCCCTGGACTACATTAACACCTAGTTACTTGCAAAGGTTTGATTGTATAAGGTCCTCAAATCAGTTGCGTGAGTGGGCAGAATTACTCTTTCTGGCCAGATCCAGTTGTTTTGTTGATGTCGTTGCTACGTAATTCGTGGCGAGGTGAAGTTGTATGTGAAATCTGAAACGTATGTTATTTCTTTGTGGCTGGGCAGCCGGCTGTACAGAGGCAAACCAGGGAGGGGTGTTTTGCAGTTTCCATTGTGAGATTCAGTTAGATACTAAAAGCACTGATTTTCTTCAGAGCAGTTAGGACTTGGCTCTTCCTTTCTCTTCCCGCTACTTCTTCCATGCCGGCGTGCTCCTCAGATATGCCATCTAGTTAGTAAAATAGTCCCAGTGCTACATTGTTCTTTGTGCCCCCAAAGTCTGTTTTTAAGAGGCTGCAGATAGCGTTGTTTGCATTGACTGTAATGTCTGATGTTTGTAACTTCAATGTTTCAGGCGTTTAAAGATACTGGCAAAGCACCTGTGGAACAAGAGGTAGCGATTCATCGCATTAGGATTACTTTGACAAGTCGCAATGTAAAATCACTTGAGAAGGGTAAGTGATAGTTTTGTTTTTTAATTGGGGTAATTTGTTAAGCAATAAGTGACATGTATAGGATTGTAGAATGGTTTGGGTTGGAAAAGACTGTAAGATCATCTAGTTCTAACTCCTCTGCCATGGGCAGGTTATGATATGAAGTGTTACAAACAGACTGTATTTACACCAGCTGTCTTTAGAGATGTTGGTGTTTGCCTGCTTGTATGTGACTTGGCTCACAAAGTCAACCCAGAGCGCTTCATACACTGATGCGGAGATTCTCATTTAATTTTCGACAGAAGCTAGTGTTTGGGAGTTTTTATAATGCTGAAAACTAAATGTCACAATGACTAATATGACAGAGTGCAGCTTCTTCCGTTTATTTCTTGTGGGGGTTTCAGTTGTCACTGTTTGAATTTATTAGAACTGAAAAGCACCGGTTTGTTGACTGGCATTTTGCCACTCTTGTTGAGAAGAGTTTAGTTTAGAAGTTAAGTATTCTTTAAGAAATTATTGAATCTTGTTTATGATCTGGCTTTGCCAGTGTTTTAATCATGTAAGTGTTGTACAATGACTGTTTAGTGCAGGATCTTCAGGCTGGTAATAGCTTAAATACAGCTTAAACTTGTGGTAGTGGCTTTTGCCACATTTGTAATGTGACTGTGCTTTACCATGGCGTAACTCTTCCACTTGTATGTGGTTGGCTATGAGGATGACCCTTCAGATGAGTGCCAGTGATCACTTCATACGCTATTCTGAGCCAACACCTTCTTTGGAATCTTCACTTAAAAAAAAGGGGGGGGGGAATATACACACCTGAGCTATTTTGTATTTTTTTTTTTTCCCAGTCTGTGCTGACTTGATCAGAGGTGCTAAGGAAAAGAACCTGAAGGTGAAAGGACCCGTTCGCATGCCCACCAAGGTACCTGACGTTGTTTTCCTGTCTTAAAGGTTTGGGGGTTTTCTGCAAGTATGCACATACAACATCTAAAAATTGAGAGTGACCCCATGTAAACATGTAATGACTTCACAAATTACTTTGACACTTGGGGCAACTGCTTAGTGCAAAACCTGTTGAATTTGGAAGGAGCTTTTTTGTTCTTTATTTTAATCAAGATTGGGGGTGGTTTTTTAATGAAATTGAATATGGGGAAGGAGTATTAACATGAGTAGAACATAAGTAACTTTACAATGACATTGATGTCAGATAGCGTTATTTGGTGGATTGATTTGATTGTAGATTAGTCTTCTGTATGCACCAACTCAGCACTCTGTACTTATGATTCTTCCTCAGACTCTGCGAATCACTACCAGGAAGACACCTTGTGGCGAAGGTTCCAAGACCTGGGATCGTTTCCAGATGCGTATCCATAAGCGGCTCATTGACTTACACAGCCCTTCTGAAATTGTGAAGCAGATCACTTCCATCAGCATTGAGCCAGGTGTAGAAGTTGAAGTTACTATTGCTGATGCCTAAATGATGGTCATCGCTGAATAAAGTTGATTTACAAATTTTCATCACTGTTTGTTTTCATGTGCGTGCCAAGAGTCTTGGGTAGCCTCATGATGATTTTCATGAAGAAAAACAGCAGGTCATAAAATGCTGTGTGAGATGATTATATGATACTTCAGGAAGAGTATATACCACTTGGAAACATCAGGAAGATGAAACTTGGACATCATTTTCTCTAAGCAGAGAAAAAATCTGTGGGTCCCTGAAGGCCAGTTTCTGTTAGTATAACTGACCTGCCTGACAGATGCTTCTGTGCTTAGTTTTAAACTTACCTGTATTTTTATGGGGTGCTCTGAAAAGCGTGGGAAGAACCTGACTCTGTGACATCAGGCAGATTAAGGAGATAAGCCGGCAAACAAGTAACAGGCTGTAAGTGTCTAGCTGAGACTGGCTGACTTTCCTGTGTAAGCTATTGACTTTCACCCAAGTAGTCTTCCCTCTGCTTAACCCAGTGGCCTTCTGACTGACAGCACTTGGAGGGATCTAAGAAGGGCTGGCTGGTTTTAATACCCTTTCTGTCTTTGATCTTTCCTGTTGATCAAAATCTGTTGCTATGAAATAGGGTTTTATTGGCTTATAGTTGGCTGTGGTTAGTGTTCCTTAAACATAGCTAATGACCTGAAGTCCCATCTATGTTCTTTGAGCAGCTGTGGGTCTTTCAAAAACAAGTTTTTTTCAGTGTTTTGAGTATCTTTTCATCTGCCTCGATATTGCTTGTAGAGACATCCAACTTTACCTTTGTGTCTGGGTCTTGTACCACGCAGAAATAAAACTCCCTACTCGCAGAATAGATAGGCTCATACATGAAGACTGCACTCTACTGGAGCAGCAGGCCATTTGCTGGTTGAGGCCCTCCCCACCACCCTAGTAAGCCCTTTGCTTGGCCTGCCCCAGTTCTGCCTTCGTGTAACCTTGAGCGTTTTGCAGTTTGTTATGTGCTTAAGCTCACGACAATACCGGGTGGTGTTGAAGCGGTTCCATAATGGCAGTAATAATTTTATATAACTATTTTGATAGAAATATTTATGTATCAGTGTCTTCCCCCACGGCACATGCTCAGTCAGGCGAGACGCTGTTCCTCTGGATGCCAAGGTGCTGCTGCTGCCTTTCTTCGTTGAAACCCCTTTGTTTTCTGGTTTGTTTTTCACCCCCGTACCTTCATATAAACGTATATATCAACCCTGTGCCGGCAGCGCACCCTGCCGGGCCCGTGTACCGTCCCGTCCACGTCCCCCGTTACCCCCCTTGCCCACACCGGTGCCGGTGGCTCGGCGGCTGCCTTGCGCTGTGCGGCGGCGCCCCCTGCCGGGCGTTTGGAGGAACCGTTTTGTGCCTGTCCGGGCGTGTCCGCCACCGTGGCTCCACCCCGCCGCCTCCCGTTCTGCCAATCAGCGCCCGCCTTCAGCCGCTCAAATGCTGTCGCCGCCGTGGGCCGCTGTTTCCCGCGCGCGGCAAGGCAGTGGTGGTGGCTGCCGGGCCCGCGGCTCGCACCGTGAGGCTTCGTGCGCTCGACTCGGCGCTGAGCCCAGGCCGGGTACCGCTCCCCTTGCGCCGGTGGGGCGGCTCCCGCGGGGCTGCCCGGCCCGGTCCCGTCCCCTTCGTTTGCGCCTTTCCCGTGTGTCTGAGCCTGTGTGCCTCATTGAGGCAGGGCACGGTGGCCACAGGGCTGCGTCCCTGACGCCTTGGGGGTGTTGAGCCTTTCAGGGGTGAGGGTTACGGGCTGTGGCGCAGCGCTTGCCGGTGGTTGAGGGTGATGCCCACCGAGGCTGTCAGCATGCTTTCACTTGTGTGTTTTGCTGTCTGCTGTCAGTCCGTTTTTAAGGTTCCTCTGTACACCCAAACTTACTTTCTTCAGAAGCGCTTGTTCATGTGCAAGCCACCTTGATCTCTGCTTTGCTCCCTAAGTATTTTTGCCTGTTCTGTAAGAAAACGATGTTTGTTTTGGTCTCTTTTTTTCAAGTTCCTTTGCACAGAAAATGGATGATGAAGGGAAAAGCTGTATTTCTGCAGAAGCACCTGATACAGTGGAATCAGTTTCTTTTCTCAGTGTATTGGGTAATCCTTCACCTATGGAGTCAACTGTATTGCCTAATACAGAGGAATGGCAGGTGTGGGTTGATTTTGTAGTAGGTCTTCTGATTATGGGGGTTTTAAGCTCTTAAATACTTCTTTGGTGATAACTGCTGTATTTGCCTGTCCCCAGGATGTGTTTGGTTCTTCTGCTTGCTTCTTATTGCTACAAATAGGTCATAGCCATTAGCGAATGCTGATGATCAATGCTACAGGATGTGTCGTAGCAATGTCTAAGCTTTTGAGAAGGAAGTAAAGGACTTCAGTAACTGCACTTTGAATGTAATGCGACTGTATCATTCCTTTTAGTAATCTAAACAAGCATATAGATGCTTGTTGAAAGCTTGCTAGGTGATTGGAAATACAGCTCTGTAATGCTGTGCTGCAGTACACTTCTGCAGATTGTATTGCATCCCTGCCTTTATAGACTTGTAGGTTTCCTGATAGGCTTACTTCCCTCAGGTGACTTAATTTTGTGTGATTAGTAGAGTACTGCTTGTGGGAGGGATGGGGAGAACTCTGGTTGAGCCATCTGCTGAATGAACAAGTTGCCAAAGTAGGGACTTTGAAGCTGTATGAGAAAAGAAGGAATGCTGGGATCCCTCTAAAAATCTCCCAACTATTATTTTACCTGGATGGGGAGACCTTCGTGTAATGGTGCAGGATGGAAAAGCCCACCTTGGCAACTGAGAGCTGTTTCATGCTTATTACTGTGGGGAAGATGAAGGGCTTATGCCTAGGTAGCAGTAACAAAGCTGTCTCTGGAGACTAAGAATATGCCAATCTGTTAACATGCTCCATACACAGTGGAAGTGAAATACTATAGAGCAGCTATTAGAAAATCCAGCTTGAATTCAATACAGAGTAACACCAGAAGGTGGAAGCAGTGCAATTTATGTCACTGTTACTGCCCACGGTAGGGGGGTTGGAACTAGATGATCTTAAGGTCCTTTCCAACCCTAACTATTCTATGGTTCTACTGTGCTCTTTTAAAATCAAGATACTGGCTTTGTCCTAAAAGAACACTAAAAGGGAAGTGGGGGAGGAGGTAAGGAAAGGCTACTTAAGGGTATTAGGAATAAAGAAGCAAATGAAAGCTTAGGGTCTGGACTTCACAAGGAAGGAAGAGGTGAGGCAGTGAGATAAAAAAGGAAATAGTACATTTGAGATGTATGCTGATATGACTTGGGGGGTGTTCTATTTAGAAAGTGGCCATTATGACTGTGGATTGTTTTGTGTGTGTGTTGGTTTTGTTTGTTTTTTTTTTATGAATAGGCATATCAGCCTTTGAAAGTCTTCTTGAGAGTGAGGCCCTTTTCTGTAGCGGAGCTTGAAAACCATGAACCTCAGGTAAGTTGTAGAATTAAGAAATGAATTTTTCTTTTCCCCCATAGAGCACCTAATATTGTAAGCTGGGACTTTCTTTTATAAAAGTTGTGTACTGCTTCCAAATAGAATTAGTGGACACCTGGGTAAATGTAATGTTTTTATCACATGGTAGAGACATGCCTGCCTGTAGCTCTGCAAAATTCCACCAGGTACTTTATTTAAATGATGCAGTTCCAGGAGTGGCTGGGGAACCTGACCCTTGGGTTTCTTTGGAGTGCTTGAACAGTCTGCTGCCTCATCATGGTGACTTATTGCTCATCCTGTGAATTTTTTTTTTCTATAACGTCTGCAGTTTATACTGTCAGATTCAGATGCTTCAGCGTTTTACATACATACATGTACACGTGCAAACACACAGAACACTCCTCCTTCCTGTGCACTGTCACAGTGCTTCCAGTTTGGTATCATTCATCAATCTGAGCTGGCTGTAAGGGTAAATTGATTTACAAAATCAAATTGAGTTGTTATTCCCTTTTGGAGTGGGAAATTTCTGACTACCTGGATGAAATTCTGTACTCTTGATACAACTGTCAGTGACTTTTGTGAGTCACCTGCTGGAGAGCAGGAAGCTGTGTTCTTTGGACGTAAACAATGTGTACCTTGTCAGAAATAGCCTAACTCCCGCCAGCTTATTTGTGGGGTTGGCTGGGACAACAAGAGCGATGTATTACCAGCTGGGTTCCAGCTCTACAGACCTTGACTGCTCATGAGCTTCTATAAAGCTGCTGGCACATGCTGCACATGTTGGATTCTTCTGTAGCCCTCTAGGATTTAGTACATTTGACCTGCATTCC